CGCCACAATGAGGGTAAAAATTAGAAGCGCGAATTAAATCATAAGTATTTCTAATTAACTCAATACTCAACACCTAATAATAGTCCTTGTTTGTTAATACACTTCTTTATATTTTGTTTTATAGGTACGAATACCTAATAAAAAAAATAGTAGTTTAATTGAATCGCTTTTCTTACAAAGAAAATAATAATAAATAATATATCTTTAAAGTATAAAAATATAACTGTATAAATAACCAAGGTTGATGTCAGATTTTGAGAATCATATAATATAATAAGTAAATAAAATATCATAAATATGCTAAACCCCAAAAATATAACTCAAGTGCAAGATCTTTTAGATCTAAAAATTTTGTTACAAAAAAATCCACTCAACAAATATTATTTACAATGATATGCAATTTTTTTTAAGTATTTGAAATTAAATATAGTTAAGTATTCATACTTAACTATATTATATATAACTTAGTACATATTCATAGTAAAAAAAAACGGAAACATGATTTATGAACATTTTAAGAATTAAAAATGTAGGTTTGTATAGGGTAATAGCAATATAAAAATGTACAATAGGGGGAATTATTTGTATCAATACGATGGATAATGAACTTTTTTTGTTAAATTTGATTTAAATAATCCTTCGTATCAATCGTGTGGATAATTATAAAAATTCATTTTCATTTTGTTTAAAAGGAGAATAAATAATGTTCGCATAATAAACTCCCAATAAAAAACCCAGCACAGGGGGGTCGCGGCACAGTGGTGACGTGACATATTTGGATCAAGTATAATGATATCTGACAGTGATTAAAATCACTATCATAAAAAACGCTTCGATGCAAATCTTTAGATAGTGTTTAATTTTAAAAAATAGGTGGATTATTCCAAAAGCAACATGATCTGCTAGTTCGTTATTAATATCCTGATTCAGATAAAGTATATCGAATGAAAAAGGGATTATTAAAAAATATTATTTCTCATAAAAAAATTATATTGATCAATACACTTTTCAATATGTTATAGCATTATAAAGTTAAAAATAAAAAAATAAAATCGAGAATTTTCACACAAAAATAGCATTTGGTAGCCAATTTCACCCTGAAGACAAAATAAAGTACGAAATTTTTTTTTCCATAATAAAGTGCATTACATTAACTTTAATTTATTATATATATAGAAGTGTCAGACTTTCCGGAACACTTTCAAAATTTAAGTTGAAAAAATAAATTTTTTCTAAAAAAGTTGTCATTTTGAATCCCCCCCCTTTGGGCAGGTAAAAAGTCAGATTTATAAAAAAATTATACCAAATGATAGTTAAAGACATCATACATCCATAAAAAAAAGAATTATATTGATCCATACATCTTTCAAAAAGTTATAGCATTATAAAGTTAAAAATATAAAAAAGAATTTTTTTACAAAAATCGTATTTTTTTTATCCACTTTGATGTCTGTTTTTACCATGAAGATAAAATAAAGTCCGAAATTTTTTTTTACCATAATAAAGTATATTACATTAGCTTTAATTTAATATATATATAAAAGTGTCAGACTTTCCGGAACACTTTCAAAAGTTAAGTTGAAAAAGTTCTACTCTCTACATGCATTTTTAAGATTTAAACCCCCCTTGTATATTGGGAAATAGTCCGATTTAAAAAAAAAAGTATGTCGAATGAAAGATGTACATAAATGCTACTTCTCATGAAAAAATTGTGTTGATCCATACATTTTTCAAAAAGTTCACATCTTAGTAAAACCAATACCTTCTCAGCTTCGCATCGAAGCTAAAAATCCTTAGCAGGTCATATAAATATTTTTATCAATTGACGGTTTGTTTATTTAGTCAACTCCTTTCAACACTCAGATGAGTTATAAAACAAGAATTCTAACAACTTCCTATATACACTACCATGTTTCCGGCTTAAAGTTAGTATATATCAGATTGAAAATCTACTTTAAGCCGGAAACATATGTTAAGATAACATATTAGAGCAAAAAAAAGGGGTAAGCTAGTCATAAATAATTTAGATATATTCATTAGAAAATTAAAGTTTTATTATGCAGTACACTTTTTTATGTTACACTTTAAGAAGATAATTTATTATATATTTAATATTAGATAATTTAAGTCTACTAAAATTTTTTTCAAAATTATTTAAACAGGAATATTACCTTATTGTTTACGACTAAATTTCTCTTAAAATAATAGTCTAAAAAAACATATTTAATTTTACTTAGCATTATTTATTTGTAGATTTATAAAAGGATAATTATTTTTTGGTCTATCCCTGATCGCTATAAGTTGGTACCTTAAAAGGGTACTAATTTTATTTATTTTTTAATGTGATATATATATTTAACTAGTTTATATGATAGAAAATGATCTAAAAAAGTAACCACTTTTGCAACAGTATTTCGGAACTTATTAACATTTTTACTGAACATTTTGTATATAAAAGGAAATGTGCGAGTTATATAATTTTTATCATTATGTATTTGTCTGCCGTACTACCCCTTCCACGCAGATATAAAAATATTCATAACTCCTGAAATACAGATTCAAAAGTTGTTATCGATCAGTAATTTCAATAATTGGAAATTTTCCATTATATAAACTAGTTAAATACGGATATAGGGTGGACTCGTGTATAAGGGAGAAAGATAAAAACAAAGTTAGAATAGGTACTTAAAATGTTGGAACATTAACTGGTAGAAGTAGAGAATTAGTAGAAGTATTGAAGAGGAGAAAAGTTAACATTTGTTGTGTGCAGGAAACTAAGTGGAAAGAAGAGAAATCAAGGGAAATAGTGAGGGTTATAAAATAATATACTCAGGTAAGTTTAGTACAAAGAATGGTGTAGGGATAATAATGGATGAGAAGATGTAAAATGGAGTAGTAGAAGTAGCTAGGAAAAGTGACAGAATTATGGTCGTAAAATTGATATTCGAAGAAAAAGTGCTGAATGTAAAAAGTGCTTTTGCATTACAAGTGGGATGTGATGAAATAGACAAGGAAGTGTTTTGGAGAGAGATGGATGAGGTGATGCAAGGGGTACCTGGCAATGAGGATGCGGTGATAGGCGGAGATATGAATGGACATGTAGGTAATGAGAGGAGAGGATATGAAAGAGTACATAGAGGGTATGGTGTTAGTGGGAAGAATGAGGCTGGAGAAAGAATATTGGATTTCGGAGTATCATATGATACTTCTGTGGTTAATACTTATTTTAGAAAGAGAGAAGAATATTATTTAACATATAAGAATGGGAGGAATAGATCACAGATCGATTATTTTATGTGGAAGAGAGAGAGCGTAAAGCGAGTAAAAGATTGTAAAGTTATACCAGGCGAGAGTGTAACTACACAACATAGACTGATGGTAATGGAGTTGTAGTATACAGGAAAAAGAATAAACAAAAATAGAAGAAACACAGGAGAAAAATCGAAGACTTAGTGGTGGAAATTGAAAGGGGAAAATGAAAAAGAGTTTGTAAAGACGGTAAAAGAGAGGACGGTATGGAACGTCGAGGGAGACATAAATGATGTGTGGAATAGATTTGCTAGTTATGTAAAGAATACTGCAAAGGAGATTGTTGGTGAGAGTAGGAGTAGAATGCCAGGAAACCTGGTGGTGGGATGAGGACGTTCAAAAAATCATAGAAAGTAAGAAAAAGCAATTCAAAGTATGATAGAAGAGTAAAAGGAGAGAAGACTGGATGGAGTATAAACGCTTGTGCAAAGAAGCTAAGTGTGCAGTAAGTAAGGTGAAGTTAAAGAGGTATGATGAGTTGTATGATAGGCTAAGAACAAAGGAAGGCGAGAAAGAAATCTAAAGATTTGCAAAGATAGAGTGATGATGATATGAAAAAAAGATGGAAAGAGTATTTTGAAAAATTATTGAATGAGGAGTACCCAAAAGAGACATTAGAGGATATCTCGTGGAATGAGGGACTGGTAGATTTAATTAGCGAGAAAGAAGTATGGGAGGTTGTGGCATCAATGAAAAAGAATAAAGCAGGACCAGATGAAGTGCCAGTAGAAGTATAGAAAATATTAGGCGATGTTGGCATAAGGTTGTTGAAGGAACTTTTGAATAAAATCTTATTAGAAGGAAAAAATCAAAATGAAAGGAGGTAAAATATTTTGGTGCCGATATTTAAAGGCAAATGAGTCATACAGGAGTATGGAAATTATAGAGGCATAAAGCTTATGAGTCATAGTATGAAAATTTAGGAAAAGGTAATAGATAAGAGAATAAGTAATGAGACATCGGTATCTTAAAACCAGTTTAGATTTATGCCAGGTAAGTCAACAATGGAGCCAGTATTTTGTATGAGGCAACTAATAAAAAAGTTTAAGGAAAAGAAGAAAAATCTGTGTATGGTATTTATAGATTTGGAGAAAGCGTATGATAGAGTACCGAGAGAGGTTTTAAAGTAGGCATTAATGAAAAACGGATTGCCTAAAAGATACATTAATATAATAGAGGATATGTATGATGGCAATTGTACCAGGGTAAAAATCGTAGAAGGAGTATCAGATTTTCGGGTAAGAGTTGGAGTGCACCAAGGTTCTGTTTTAAGCCCTTACTTATTCTCTATAGTGATGGATGATATTACTAGAGAAATACAAGGTTGGGTTGGGTTCCTATTAATTTTCAATGAAATAAAACTACATATATACATTGATTTTTTCAAAATATAATTAAAACATGAATTAAAGTAATAATGTAGGGGAATTAGGAGTGCTAGCATGATTTCCTTTTATGTATTTTAATCAATTTTAAATATAGTCAGAATTATATTTAAAATTGTTTACAATTAGATTATTTGTTTTGTTGGAGGGACCTTTTTTATTTTCCTAATATGTATTTTTAATTAATTTAAAATTACAATGAATTAATCAAGGTAATATATTGACCACCACAACGGATACCAGAAATAACAAAGTGTTTTTTTTTATTATTTAAATCAAATGTTTATGATCTAAAAAATAATCAGATTAAATGTTGGATAGTTTTATTAATAATTAAATACAACGGAAATTTAAACAATTTTTAAAATATAACTGATTACCTTATTAAAATATAAAATTGATAAAGACATTTTATGGCACCGATATAAGTAATTTCATAATCAATTAAAAAAAAACGATTTGTATAACTATTAGTAATTTACAGTATTAAAATAAAAATAAATTGTTCAAATAATTATATAAAATGTACAATATATAAAAATAACTTAACAAACAATTTTTTGAGATAAATGTTTTCTTAACTTTTGAAGGAGTGGTAACATTTCACATTTTCTTTAGAGTTATTTTAACAATAATTTTTATTTGGCTTCATTATAAAACGATTGTCTGCCAACTCCTAAAGTTTGTTGTAATAACGGTATTCCAAATATTATAACAAATGATACCAAATAAATGGATAAATACTTATAGGCATTATCTAAAATTGCAACACGTCTATTTAATTTATCGTCCATTACTTTAATACCACATATTGAAAGTAAAACATCAAGGCCATCAAAAGCATATTTGACAATCAATAAAAATACAACAATACAAATATAACCCAGTCCGCTTCTGATTACTATATTACCTAAAAAACATAACACTTATAAAATAACTATTAAAATATACACAAATTATTAATTGATATAAGGTAAAATGAAATAAGTTCAAAATTTTACTAAAAAAGATATAATAAGATCATATATTTTTAAATAACTTATATTAACGTCTTCTCTAAGAGCTTTTGCTTGTACCAGAGAAGACAGGAAAACGTACGTAATCAACCATAAAGGAACAAACCTTGGTACATACACACTAAGGCACGATACAATATAAACTAGGTAAGCAGGTCATTTAAATTTGATAATACTTTATTTTGGATAATTGATCAAAATCATCAATAATGTTTTTTAAATATTTGTTATACTAACGGAATATAATTTTAAAATTATATACATTTAATTAAAAAATAAAACAATTTAATTTATATAAGATATTTTAATTAGTGGATTAAATGACTAATAAAAATCATTTTTCCAGAATTTTGTAATTATGATATATAACATTGTCCAAGTTCATAGCAAATTAACAGTTTACTAAAACGATTTATAGTGCTATAAAATAATAAGTATAGGCAAAGTGAATAATTTAAAAAAAATTTGAACAGTCCTTTTTAATTAAGACTTTTTTCAACATAAAAATTCAGAGAATTACACAGAGGAGAACTGACAGAGTTACAGACCTTCTCATAATCAATTTTTAATTTTTAAATATGGAATGTTATATAATGAAACCTTCCTAACAAACAACTATCAATAGCTAACGTTTTTGGGAATGGGATATTTTCAATACTTTTATATTTGTTTGTCAAAATACATCAAACTTAGTATAGAATGATAAGATAAGATTGCATCAAATAATGAGCCTTATGATGAAAATATCAATATCTTAATTACCAATGTTTAGTGTATTGTGTTAGTTAGTTCATAAAAAAAACGTTAGCTATTGATAGTTGTCTGCTAGATGGGTTTTATTAAATAACATTCTATATTTAAATTATCTCTTATAAGTCTGTCAGTTTTCCTCTATGTACTTCTCTGAATTTTTATGTTGAAAAAAGTCTTAATTAAAAAGACTGTTCAAATTTGCCTGATTCGGGACCAGCAATACAGAATTATAAATTTGATTACCAAGAGTATCCATTATTTAGAGGTATTACTGTATTTATATAGCTTTTTTTATTACAAAATAAAAATTAATTTCTTATTATAAAACATGTAAACAGTAAATTAAATATAATTATTTCATTTAAAAAAATTGAAAATTACACATGTAATGATTAAGATTATTAATATAGAAATTAATGTAGAATAATAAAATTATTCTAACTAATTTTCAAATAATTGTACAGCTCAAAATAAATAAATTAAAATTTTTACCTAGCTCTTTTAATGAGGGCCAACTGATATTATTATTCATTGGATTCATAATTATATTTTCATTTTGTAAACCCAACATCACAAGCAACCAACCTCCACTTAATATTCCTGCACAAGTCCCCAATATTTGAGATGTGTCTCCTCTGAAATTATAAAAAATAAATAAATATTAAAAATATTCATATAGTTATTCATTTTGTATCAGTTGTGTATTACTTTAAATAAACTAAATAATGTATAGTACAGTTAAAGTAGTCATTATGTATAACACTAGGACCTAAACAAAATATATCCTCTGAAAATTAAAGCTTGTACCTTGAGTTATAAATAGCTAATTAAGTTTTATAATATACATTCTAATTTTAATTGTAAAAATGTTAGTCTCAAAAACTCTCTAAACTTAACTTTTTAGTGCAATTAATTTTTTTAAGAATATTCTAGAAATTTTGTAGTTTTAGTAAAAAAAAAAAATTATATAGTTAGGCCTATGCCAAAAGAACATATTTCCCAATGCAAAAAATTGCCCAATATGTAACTCTCAATAAGCATAAAATATGAACTTATATACATAACTATTAAAAAAAAAAATTTTCTTAATACTTTTAAATTTTATAATTAATTAAAAGTTTTTAACTTATTTCTATAGAACTTAAATAATATATCTTTTTCAATTACTTAGTAGGTGTCCACTGATTTCCTGTAGGGTACATAATAATAAGACCGACTGTAAGAGTGACTAGAATAAATGGAGTCCAAAAACAATACATGAGAAAACGATCAGCAATGTCGGCAACTGGTAGAATAGGTATTAGTAGAACTATTGCTAAGGATAAACCAGCCATCACATCCTAAGAAAAATAATAAATCTTAAACTTTACTTTCAAAAAATAAATTTTTACTACCCCCTTCCTTTTAATTGTATTTTTAAAATGTAGCTATATTCATCAAAAAGGTTTTGTCTGATATTTCCCCCCCGAGACACATCCTTAATTAAAATATACACAATAACATTGTGAGAGCATCACATAAAATTATTATTAAACACTAAATAAGAAATTTCAACAAATATTTATAATTATAAAAAATGAGCTAATATAGATAAATAAAAAATGTTTTGATTTAAATTTAACATTTTTAAATCATAAGCATTAATAAAAAAATGAAAAACCAAATTCTATATATCTCTAAAATCCAAGAATAAAAGATTAATATTAGTGTCATTTCATTGGTATTCATTAAAAAATAAAATATATTGTAATACAATAATTTATTATTAATACTGTTACTCATTTCTAAAAAAGAATTAAAAGTAAAATTTTTAATTAATCATACATCAATTTCTCTAAAATATCAAAATAGATTATGAATTCTTAATTAAAAAAAGATGTATGTCCAATATATATATATATTTTATTGCCTATTATCTACTTTAATTAGAAGAAAAAATTAGAAAAAAATTGTACTAATGTACTCATAAACCACTTAGCTTTAAATTATTGCTGAAATAGCAAATAAAACATTTATGAAATATTTAAATAATATCAAATTAATAATTAAGTATAATAATAAAAATAATAAATAAGTTAAATACATCAAATAAAATGAATAATAAACAATTTTAAAACATACTTAAATGATCTTTGATACACTTAGGAGTGAGTGAATTTTAACTTTTATAACATAATTATTTTATAACAAAATTTTTGATATTTATAAATCAATAAACTACAATGTTTAAAAGTACAACAAAATAACAATATTCAATATAACATAACTAAGATACAAAAGGAAATATATATATATTTTAACTTATAAAGGTTTCAACATAATTTTTTCAAATGGCAACATACATAATTAACTAACCTATTTAAAACATTTAATTTAATGATCTAATTAAGGATATAAAACTGGTCAATAACAACTTTTGAACTAGTACTTTGGAAGTTATTCTCATTATACCTAGACAGGAGGAAAACTACAGCCAGAAAATAACTAGTAATAAAAATAACCTCACTCACAATTCACCTTCAGTTATTAGTATAAAATGGTAATAACTTCCAAAATATTGGACCAAAAGTTATGATCAATTCATCGATCCATAATTAGATCATTAACTATTAAATAGTCTAATTAATTATGTATGTTTCCATTTCAAAAAATAAAGTTAAGGCCCTAATAAGTTATAAGTGATGATTCTAAAAAATAACTATTAGCTAATACAATATAATATTTATAATCAAGAATTATATGTAAATAAAAGAAATCTAAAATTATTTTTCCAATATTGTATTTATTTGGGAAGAAATCGAATGGATTAAAAACTCTATGAATTCTCTGGTGTATGGCTGACTTGGAGTATAGTCAACTTAACTAATAAAACAATCTATGATACTATTTTTTATAAACTTTCAAATTAAAAAGGAACAATTAAACTATCCTAAATTATATTCATTAATTAGTAAAAAATTAAATAAGATCTACATAATATCATTTTTAATTAAATCACTTACTAAAACTGTATGCATTCCTAAATATAAGCGACTTAGTGTAATTAGAGTGCACCATAACAATGCCAAAGAAATACCAACTGCATAATCAATCTATAGAAATTTGGATTTAAGTTTGATTAAAATTCAATATTATAATAATGAGTTACCTACTTGATATTTATTTGATAAATAATATAGAACTGAAAATGGCAATGTAATACTAACAACAGCATGGGTTGATGGCATGCCATATTCCACTGACCATTTGTTCTGAAGCCTTACAACAGGAGGACAGGCTGGTCTTGGCCATCGCACAATATCTTTGATTGATTGTCCTACATATTCATTTCATAATAACAATTTACTATATTCTTATTATAAAGACAATATAATTTAAATAAAAAGAACTTTACCTATATACATGACAACTGCCCATACAAGAACAATTTTTCTTGCAATTGCTGAGTCAACGTTCCATATGAAAAACGGTATAATTATTGAATATCCTATTTCATCGCCAAGATAAGTACCAAAAAAAAATAAGTAAAACCAAAATTTATTGGTTATTTGGTAGTTACTTCCATCTCTGTTTTCAGCTAAACTGCTATTGCCATTTAACTCATTATTAACTGTATGTGAAAGAGCAACATTTTCATCTTGATGGTGACAACGTACTATTCCAAAATATTTTTGAAAACGTGCAACTAATATTGGATCTTTCAAATAATTTAAGCACTTTTTATAATTAGACATGTTTATAAAAAAGTTACCATCAATCTACGTTATATTATTAATGTAGGCAATAAAATAGTTATAAAACAATAAGTATCACAAATTAAACAAGTTAAAATTATAAAATAAACAGAACAATACAAATTTTTATCTTAATAATACGAAAAAAAAAAGATACTAAATTAAAATCAAGTAATTAATTTATGTAAATCACATTCTTTTCTATTTATTCATAAGGACATCATAATAGTAATTCGGAATTCCATAACTAAATGTTAATGTCAATCGCTTATTTATTAATTTTTCAAACTGTAAAAAAAGATAACTTATCTACACTCTTATCACAGAAAAAAATAGTTTGTCACAGCTGGTAAATAGTGCACACTAATCACTAGAAAGTTATTAACTGATTGCTAGTAGCAAGATTGTACAAAGTCTAAACAGTTCAATGAATATCTCTGAACTTTTAATATCCCGTTTTGAAAATTACAAAACCCAGAATTCAAATCATTTTTTGTTAAATACATCAAAATAAAAATTACCCAATGAATCAACTTTACGAAAAAATTATGCTTCGTTGTGTTAAAATAATGTCTTACTTAAGATTAGAGAAGAAATAAGGAATTTTATTTATAATATGGGTATCAATTGACGAAACTAACGATGTACAAGGTCTTTACATAGCATGTGTAATAATAATTAGTGCTTTATCTTCAAAAAATCAACCAAGTCACTAATTTTAACAGTTAAAAATTAAAGAAAGGCTAACTTTCAAAATTAATTAATGATTTAATGAGTATACTATGGTCTTAAAAATTATTACATTATGTCACAAATGCTGCACCCTTACATGATAAAATGCGGGCAAGCGCTTAAAGCATTTTACCCTAAACTTCATTATATAACATGTATGGCCATATTCTTCATAGAGTATAGGAAGACATTACAAATAAATTCCCAAAAATTGATAAATTAGTTTCAAATACAAAAAAAATGTTCGTAAAAACACCTAAAATCAAGTAAATGTTTCAAGTAATGTGCCTGAATTTAAGTTTACTGTCATTACCAGTTATCACAAGGATGGGAACACTTGGCATGATGCAGCCTTCTAATATAGGAAAAACTTTGAAAAATTAAAAAAAGTCATCAGTACATTTGATCAAAGTGATGCAAAAGCTATTCAAATTAGTCAAAAATTATTTTAAGATAATTTTGATAAAAATGAATTGGCGATTAATTTATCATTTTTTCAGTGTGTCGTTTTTACGACACAATGAAAAATTTTTAATTGAAAAAATTTGGCGCTAATTTCATTGAAAGTTTTGATTTAATTTAGAACATAGTAAATAAATTTAATGAAAGAGGAGTTGGCATAGATTTTGCCAAAATCAAACTTTCACTAATTCTTGCAAAAAATCCTGGTATGCTCAAATTAAAAAATGGTAGCATAGTGGGATCATGGAGTAGTGTGGGCGCAGTATAGTTGGGACAAGTATAGATGATATCCGACAATGATGAAAATTACTATCATAAAAAACGCTTCTCTACAAATCTACAGATAAAGATATAATTATTTATTTAAATATATTTAATTTTAAGAAATTGGTGGATTATTCTAAAAGCAACATCAACTTTTATATCCTAATTTATAACCTGATTACACGTTTTATGATTATATGTGAATAAATATCTATTATATATTTAATTATATAATGAAATTTATATTTAATAATGTATAGTATAATATTTTTGGCCGACTTGAAAACTATAATGAGATTTTTTCTATCACCTATCTTTTGGGAATATTACTAATAAGTAAAAAACTATTAAAAACAAAAAAAATTGTTTTCAAGTTATTAATGATTTTGATTTTTAATATATTAAAAATAATCCGTGAAAATTTCGATTCAAAATATCATTATTAACCAATTTTTTTGGTTTTTTAGAATTAATTATTACAAAAGTTAATAAAAAAAGATTGAACTTTTTACTATTCATCTCGAAAGAGGGAGCGACGGCGCCCGCCGTTTCGGTGTCAGTCCGAATGCACGGGAGCGGCAAGGGACGCTTCGCGTGGTGCGAGGTGCCCATCAGGGCTTCGCAACCGTTGGTCGGGCTGACACGGCTCAGGGTGGGATGGGGCACGTGCCGGATCCGAGTCCCAAAGGACAAGGGAACGCGCTGCTACAGGTGCCTCGAGGGGGGGCACGTGCAGCGGTCCCGACCGGACCGACGCGTGTTTCACGTGCAAAACAGAGGGCCACCGGGCAAGGGATTGCCCCAAGAAGGTGGGAGGGCCGGAGAAGCCTACATAAGGTATCTCCTGTCCTCCTCACTATTTGTGTATCTTATGTGTTTGTGAATTATAAGCCGACCCTTAGCTAAGTCCTACCCCCACCTAACCTCCGGCTAATGGGGGAGGCCACACCACGTTGAGAATCAGCTCTTGATTAACTTCGGGCTGATTCACAACGTGGTGGTGTGAATTTTATACCGACGTCGGTCGCCCTGAAGCAATATCTCACAATAGTTCCAGGGCGGCCGACATCATGTCAACCGTGAAAAGAAAAAAAAAAAAGGTCGGCGGGCGGCAGTGACGACAGGATACCCGCCGCCACTCCGGACACCGTTCGGTACGCCGAAACTGCCCGGATCGGCACCCGCCTCTGCACCCTGAGCAGGGCTTCACGGTTTTTGGACGAATACTCAAGAGTATCCGCCCAAACCGGGGACCCGTACAGGAGGACCGAGTGTACGACGCTGACTAAAAGTCTGCGCCGCATCTCTCTCGGCACGAGTAATGTGTGGCCCGAACTTTAGACGTTTGTCTATGACAAGGCCCAGATAATTCATGGAGTCCTTAAGCGGGATCTCCACCCCCAGTACGGCGAGCCGTGGAGAGTGAACTTGTACCTGTCCGTGAACAAGACCGCTTTGTTCTTGTCCAGGGCGAGGCTCAGTCCGCTCCCCTCCTGCTGGATCCAGGCGGTGACTGCGCTAAGCGCGCAGTTCGCACGAGATCCAGCCCTCTCGGACAAGGCGCCTTCCGCCACCACCAGCGTGTCGTCCGCGTAGCAGACGACGCGCACGTGCGGTGGTAGCGGAACGCGGAACACCGCGTCGTACGTGATGTTCCACAGCAGAGACCCGAGAACTGACCCTTGCGGGACGCCTCCCGTGACAGGTCTGACTCTCAGGCCCGCGGCGCTCTCGTAAAAGATGACCCGATCGCTAAAGTACGACCGGATCATCCGCCCGAGATAAGGAGGCACCCGAAACGAGTCCAGCGCTTCGAGGATGTGTAACCATCACACGGAGTTGAACGCGTTTCGGATGTCCAGGCTCACCGCCATCCAGAAGCCCTGCTCAGTTTTGGCCCTGAGGGCCAAATCCCTGAAGAGGGAGCCCGCGTCGTCCGTCGACCACCCCCTCCTGAATCCGAACTGGCCCTCAACCAGCCCACCGACGTCGACCAAGTGGGCCTCGATCCGGGTGAGAAGACATTACCCTCAAAAATTAAAAAAATTTCCCTCGTTCCTTGTCAATGGGGGAAACCCCCCAAAAAGTTACAAATTTAAAAATCGCTAAATTTCGAAATTTTTTCAATTTTTTTACTTAAAATTGCCATAAATTTTTATATAGATGCATGATATCGTTACTTTTCATTTGATATACTTTTTTTTATAAATCTGACCCTTTATCTGTCCACGGGGGGGATTTAAAATGACAACTTTTCCACAATAAATTAACTTTTTCCACTTAAATTTTTAAAATGTTCCGGAAAGTCTAACACTTTTATCTATATCTTAAATTAAAGCTAATGTAATGTAGTTTTTTATTTTAAAATATTTCGTACTTTATTTTGTCTTCATGGTGAAAATGGCTACCAAATGGTATTTTTGTGTGAAAATTCTCGATTTTGTATTTTACATTTTTAACTTTATAATGCTATAACTTTTTGAAAAATGTATGCATCAACACAATTTTTTCATGAGGAATAATAATTTTTAATAATCCCTTTTTCATTCGACATACTTTATCTTAATCAGGATATTAATAAGGAAATAGCAGATTACGTAACTTTTGGAATAATCCACCAATTTTTAAAAAATAAACACAAATTTTGAACTTGTAAGATTCATAAAATGGGATACTGTCTAAGGAGGAGTAGAAGGAGCCCCCCCCACAAGATTTTCATGGGAAACAAATTATAAAAAATTATACAAGGGCCCAAAATTGTTGGCCCCTCCAATAAACATTTTCTGACTATAAATTATGACTATAATTATAATTATGACTATAATTATGCAAACAATGATTAATAAATTTCTATAAATATAAAAATATATGTTTTCATAAATTTAATTTACATATAAATTATTTAAATAACCTACTTACAAAATTATTTTCTAAACTTACAAATAATTGTCAATTTATTAAATCCTACTTGGAAATTCATAATTAGTTAATCACCGACAGTTTCAATGATTAAAAAATGTTTTTAACGAATTTTGCATACTGGCATAATCTTTATTCATATATAGCAAATTACAACAAACTATGTTTGTTTGAAAAATTACCAATAATTAATATATATGTAGAAAAAGCTATGAAACTAGATTCCGAATTAGACTACACCCAGAGAAAAACCTCGATCTATATAATAAATTCATTGTTCAATTTGATAAATATATCATTACTATTGAATCAATGATATATTTATCAATATGATATTTTTTTTTCTTGTCTTGAACAATAATTATTTATAAGAATAGTTATTTTGTTCGTATTAATAAAACATTATCATAAACCCTTGATAAAATTTCTCTTTCAATTTTGATTGAGGTTTTTCTTTGGGTGTATGATTTGATTAAAGACGATTTTTCGAAATATATTATTCGTTGAGAACGCATATCAACATTCATTAGGGACAGTTAATACCGATATATCTGGTACCTATAATTTTTTTTTTAAATCATAGTTTAAATTTCAAAGAACCTTAACCGGAACACATATTGTTATTTAATTAAGATTCTCGACCTGATTTTTAGGTAATTTTTCAGAAAAAAAAACCCAGCACAGTGGGGTAGTGGCATAGTTGCGTCCAGTATAGATGATATCTGACAGTGATTAAAATCACTATCATAAAAAACGCTTCGATGCAAATCTGTAGATAGTGTTTAATTTAAAAAAAAAAAACCACATAGTAAAATAATATTAATATGAATTTCTTCTCACGAGAGGAGACTA